CAGCCCTATTATTTTTTATTTTAAAACAGGGTCTCACTAGGCCCCTAAGTTGCCAAGGCAGGTGTAATTCTCCTGCCTCAGTCTCCCAGAGTCCTGGGATTACAGATATGTCTCACCATACCCCGCTGATAATGTAGTGCATTCTATTAAACAGGTCGACAATAAAATATGAATTTATTCCCAGAGATCTCCTGAAATTAATCTTCCTTTTTAATTTACAAACTTTTTTTTTGGTACCGGGGATCGAACTCGGGTCCTTGCGCTTGCACAGCAGGTGGCGAAACCACTGAGCTAAATCCCAGGCCCCTAGACATTATTAAATGTTCCATTTTTAGCAATTTATTATAGAGAACTTCATTCATACAAAAAGATATTGGATGTGCACCACTCTTGATAGACTTTGGATTAAAAGCTTCACTTTCAGGGCCGGGGATTTAGCTCAGTGGTTCTGCTGCCTGCTGTGCAGGCACAAGGACCCGAGTTCGATCCCCAGTACCAAAAAAAAAAAAAAAAAAAAAAAAAGCTTCACTTTCAGCTAGGGATTTAGCTCAGTGGTTCTGGCACCTGCAGTGAAAGTGCAAGGTCCCGAGTTCAATCCCTGATACCAAACAAACAAAACAAAACAAAAAAAGCTTCACTTTCACTGCAAAAAAAAAAAAGACACTGGGCTTGGGATGTGGGTCAGTAGTAGAGCAAGATCCCCAGCACCAAAAGAAAAAAGAGTATATTTACCAATTCACACTCAGATCCCACTACCCAGCTGAATGAAAACAGAATTCTCACAGTTAAATCTCCCTTATTTCATTTCTGATTAAAACTGATGTTTTAGTCCTTCTCAAAAGCAGTTTTATTCTAACCTAGAATATTTCCAGAGTCTCACTGCCACAGGGAGAGCTACATGATAACAGCTTCTAGAACAGAAAATCTGAATAGGGCCCAGAAGTGGGAACCATGCGCAATTAATTGACAGGAGCCTGAGTTCCTCTTGTCCTGGAAGGGAAAAACAAAATAAAAACCAACTCTGGAATGCAAAACATTACTCAATTAACAGATCCTTTCATCAGAAGGTACCAAGGCCCCTAACCCACAATTTTTTCCCCCTAAAATATTCTTGTGATATAGGGGAGTAGAATGTATGAGATCCAAAATTATAGGACAGGAGATAAGAGGCCAACCTCTAATATCATATAAAAAGACACAATACAGCCCAGCATGATGGCATATGCCTGTAATCCCAGGATTTGGGAGGCTGAGACAGGAGTATCTCAGCGAGTTTGAGGCCAGCCTGGGCTAGCTACATAGGGAGACATGACTAAAACAAAACAAAACAAAACCCCTCACAATGCTAGCCCAAAGTCAGAATAAAAGCCAAATAACAAAGTTGGAAAAATAGGAAGAACATATTGGTAGGTGATCACTGCTAACCATAGCATATGTTAGTGTCTGCTAATTATATTTATACATAATTTTAATTACTTAACCAAATCAGTCAACATACAAGACCAGAAATTTTGCCTCAGTTTTATTTGAACTAAGTGATCAGCCTTTCTTTAAGAAGCTCTCTTAGAGTTATTAAGAAAATCACCTTCCATGCATGGTGGTACAAGCCTGTAATCCCAGCTAGTTAATTAGGAGGCTGGGGCAGGAGGATTCTAAGTTCAAATTCAGCCTGGGCAATTTAGCAAGACCCCATCTCAAAAGATAAAAGAAAAAAAGGACTGGGGCTGCAGCTTGCTCAACTTAGGGTAGACATTTGCTTCGCCTATGCAAGGCTCTGGGTTCAATCCCCTGTACCAAAATAAATAAAAATCAAAAATCACCTTGCCTCAGGCTGGGGATTTAGCTCAGTGGTTCTGCCGCCTGCCTCACAAGCACAAGGACCCGAGTTGGATCCCTGGTACCAAAAAGAAAAATCACCTTGCCTATAAAATGAAAGGCTGGGGCTGGGGATTTAGCTCAGTGGCATCATGCCTGCCTTGCAAGCTCAAGGTCCTTAGTTCGAACCCCAGTAGCGCAAAAAACAAATGGAATAAAATGAAATGAAAGGGTGGCTTCCTAAACTTTATCAGTTGTCTGTAAACAACAGTATTGAAAGGGCCAGGGATTTAGCTCAGTGGTTTCACAGCCTGCCTCACAAGCAGAAGGATCCGAGTTCAATTCCTGGTACCAAAAAAAAAACCCACAACAACAACAACAGTATTGAGAGTACCAGGTCAGAAATCCCCCCATCCCTTTTTTTTTTTTTTTTTTGGTACCAGGGATCAAACTTGAGACCTTGCACTTGCAAGGCAGGCAGTGGAACCACTGAGCTAAATCCCTGGCCCCCAGAAATCCCTCTCCCCTTACATCCCTCTTCTTTCTGGATATCCAAAAGTCCCCTGGGCAGGAAGTGGCTGAACTCATATCATCCAGCCCACAGGTCCATTTAAACTTACATTGCAATCCCACCAGCTACCATTAGTGGCTGAAAAATGGTGCTATTTGCATACAGACAGCTGGCTGAAATTCTGAGATTTCAGTCCCTTCATTCAGCTCCATGGAACTTAAAATAGTCTTGCACTTGACCGAGAAAAACAAGACTTAAAAGACATTTCTTTTTAAGTCACCACCTGGCTCAGTTTCCTCCAGCAACTAAGTTCTACATCAAAAGGGAGAGATCAGCGACTGCTTGCTGCTTCTGGATAGTTTTCTACTACAGGAAGTGTGAGCGCACTGGGCGCTCGGAAAGGCTGTTCAGAGAAATGCTAGCAGATTTAGTGAAAGGCTCCTTGCATATGTAAAACATCCAGCTCCCTGCAGAGAGGGGAGGTGGCAAAAAGGGCTAAGAAAAGGGAAGGGAAAGTTTAAAAACGGAGGTAGAGTGGTTTTCCAAAGACAAGGAAAAAAAAAAGTAAAAGGGCAACAACAAGGAAGAAAATCTCCATGGGGGTTGGCTATGGGAAAATGAGAAGTTTCAGCAAAAAAGCTGGAATAGGAAGGTAACTGGGATCAAAAGGCTGAACACTAAAGGTAGAAAGACCGAGGGGGAGAGAAATTAATCCAGTGAGCATGGGAGGAAAGACAGTCATGGGGAGGCGGAACAGGTAAAATTGGGGGACAGACAAAGAGTCGGTACAGTGCAAACCCAAGCCTGCCCTTGCCTTTTGGAAGACTGTAGAGAGCAACAGCTAACTCATTAAAATGCTGAGTGGGGAGCAGCGCTGCAAATCCGCGCCCCTGATCTTTGCAAAGAACCAGGGACGCTGTATGCCATTTCCCTCGGATCTTGATGTTGAAGTTTCACCTAAACCATAATGTGGTTTAAGACAAAAAGAGGTTGACAACTAACTAAAAAAAACCCTTCGCTGGGGGAAGGATTTAAGGTGTTTTTACCCTGTTTAACCAGTGCCTATGAAAATCATAAACATATCCAAAGCCGAGAGCACCAAAAATCACATTAATCAATCTTAGTTCTTGGAAATAATATGAACTAATTTCCAAACATCCCCTTGTTTGTATTTATCTATGTGGTGCCCCACGTTTAATTGTAGGCATAAATCCCTCATATGCTCTAATACCCTCTGTTTAACCCTTTCCAAACTTAGTACCCTGAAGCTAGTATCTACATTTTATTATTTTATTTTATCCTTGGCGGCCTTGAGGGAGCAGCTGCTCTCTCGCTGCTGCTCTCTAGCGCCTACGGGAAGGAGCGCGCTCTCACCCAGGAGTTCCCAGGCCGGGTCCTAATCGTTTTCTCGCTCCAAGGTCTGAAAGCCAGATTTCAAACAGTACCTTGAGGTACTGTGCAGCCCATCTAGAGCCCAGGAGTGGAACCGGGGCGGAGGGGAGGGGGCTGGCAGTGACCTGGGGAGGATGGCTGGTTAATTTGGGAGGAGGACAGAGTTCCGGGTGTGGGGGTGCGGTGGTATCCCCGTTCGAGTTCTGACTGTTCTCGGGGAGGCGCGTTCACATTCACTGCTTCACAAACAGCTCGTGTGGGTTCCCTGGCTCGCGTGGAAATGTTACTGGCGCCAGCCGGGACTTTTCCTGACCCCTTCTGGTAGAAACATGGATTTCACAGAAGATGAAATCGAGCAGAGAAGGGGAGGGGGACAGGGAAGAGGCGAGAGGGAGGGAGAAAAAGATTTTAAAGGAATCTCCCAGCCCGGGAACTGGGGGGCGGGGACCGGCGGCTCACGTGCCACATGCCCGGTACCCCTGTCCCCGTCCATCCTGGGGACCCGGCTCTGCGCGCCTCCAAGCCCAGGATCCCCAGGAGTGGGACTGAGGTGGCCGAAACGGCCCCGCGATCCTCGACCGGGTGGCGCTCGTGAAATACTTTTCTCGAAAGTCACTTGACAGACCGCGTCTCCACTCCGGGTTCCCTTCCTCCCAGACCCCTCAGCTCCAGGTCAAGGCGCCCTCTACGCCTCCGCTCGTCTAGCTTCGCCCCTGGCACGCACTTTCCTGGCTCATCTGTGCCCGGAGAGGTTCGGGGACCCGAGGAGACGTGTTTGTGGGGGCTGCGGGAGCACGCGACACCCCCGCCCCCACGCGCAACCCTCGGTCACTCGAGCCTCTCCCGCTCCAGGGCGCTGCGACCCTGACTTCCCCAACAGAGGGCTCTGCAGCCACAGGGCGCTCAGGGGTCCCCAGGCCACACTGCCCTTTCCTGGCGGGTCTGCAACTCTGCCCGAGGTCGGGCCCCAGGCGACCCCGCCAGGCCACCCTGCACGCGCCGGGCCTCATTGTTTATCACCCGCGACAAAAGCGCCCAGGCGGCCGGGCCGGGGGCGCAGAGGATCCCCTGGTCCCCCTCCCCCCGCCCCCCTCCTGACCCCCTGCTTGCGCTCCGGCCCCGCTCATCACCCTCTCCGATGCCCGGGCAGCGTGCGTCCCCCATCCCCACGCCCGCGGCAGCCCGCGGGCAAACTTTCCAACTCGCGTAGGTCCCCACCAACTTCGGAGCCCCGGACCCTGACGGGCAGGGGCGGGCAAGCGGGCCTCGGGGGGACACCTACCTCCTCCAGGCACGGTCAGGGCCCGAGCCCCAGGGGTAGGCAGTTGCTCCGCGAGGGTCCCGGGCGCCAGAGGAGGTAGCGTCGCATGGCTGGGGTCCCGCGGGGACAGGTCCCGGGGGGCAGACCCGGGAGCAGAGGGGCCAGCGGCTGCGCGCACAAAGCCGCGCCGGGGCCACCGCGCGGCCACTCCCCGCCAGGTCAGCCCCCCGGAGCAGCGGCGTCTCCCCGGGACAGACCTCCGGGACTGAGGCTGGGGCTCGGCCTCGCTGGACCCTGCACCGCCGAGCGACAGGCAAAACGCGCCCTGGATTTCCCCAAACCGGAGCTGGACTCCCCTCGGACCCCTCCTCCCTCCCCAGGCCTACAGCTCTCTCAGATCCGTAGACAGATTGCAGGTTAGATGAAGTATTAGAGAACTGATAGAGAGGTCTTAAAATACTCTTTCCTTATCTTTTTCCCCCAGGAGCTTTTAGGCTCAGATTAAAAAAAAAAAAAGTTTGGAGAATCTCTAAAAGGACTGATCCACCACGGGGGGTGCCAGGCCCGGATGGCACCTGGGGAGCACCGGGTCGCCAGCCGTGGAAAACGACCTCAACACTCAAGAAAAACCACGTGAGGGCTGTGACCCTGGACTCAGCGCTTGGTGTCTACAAAGGTCATCATAATATTTTTATGAGCGTTGTGGCCGCGGACCTCGGGGTGGTGGTATTCGCTTTACTGTAATAAAGGCCACGGAAGGGGGGTTTGCACTATCAGCAGTAACAACCAGCAGAACTAGGTCCAAACCTGGCCTGAGAAGGGCGTCTGAGCTGTCCCGGAGTGCTCCAGGGCTGTGGTTTCGAGTCCGGCACTGCATAGTTTAATGGGCTCCCCGAACTATCATTCGGGCCAAGCTTCAGGCGAACAGGAAGGAGACAGATTAATTCTCTCCCCTCAGGCTGTCCTACCTCCATTCCCCAAGCACTGCGTCCTCCGCACTTTAGAACCCTAATTTAAACTCTTCTTTTGAGAGATTTCTAAACTTCATCTTTCCTCTCCGATGGACTAATGCAAACGATCCTTGAGCTGGGGTCTAAGCAAAGTCGAGTGAGGTTGGCGAGAGATCACGGCAGTGCTTTCAAGGCTGCGATGGGCAGAGTACAGGGCTGGAAGTAGTCACAGACTGGTGCTGGGGCTGGGGTGCAGCTCGGTGGGAGGCGGCATGCAGCAGGCCAGGGAGTCGCCCCAGCACAGGGAGGGAAGCGGGAAAGCATTTGAGATAAATCTTTTCTTCTGAAACGTGGTCTCCCAATGTGGCCCAGACTGGCCTTGAACTGGAAATCCTCCTGCTTCGGTCTCCCCAGGGCTGGGATTTCAGTTATGCACTAGCATGACCAGCTGCTTTAAAATAAATCTGACACCTAAAGCAGGCTTTCCTCAGTCAATTTTCCATAAGCCTACTGAGGGGAGAGTCAATCTTTTGGACATGGATTTTTGTTTTGTTTTGGTTTTTTATACTGGGGATCCAACTCAGGACCTTGCACTTGCAAGGCAGGCTCAGCACCACTGAGCTAAATCTAAGCTAAATCTGTTTGAGCTAAACCTGTTTTGTTGTTTTTTAAGACCATCTTGGTATATTGGCCACCTTGACTTTTGAACTCTTGGGTTCAAAAAGTTCCTCTTGGACAGGGGATTTAGCTCAGTGGTTTCGCCACCTGCTGCGCAAGCACAAGGACCTGAGTTTGATCCCCAGCATCAAAAAAAAGAAAAAAAAAAAAAGTTCCTCTTTTTCCAGGTGTGGTAGTACATGCCTGTAATCTCAACATTGGGAGGGCCAGGGATTTAGCTCAGTGGTTTCACCACCTGCTGCGCAAGCACAAGGACCTGAGTTCGATCCCCAGTACCAAAAATAAATGAATAAAAATAATAATTAAAAAAAAATCTCAACATTGGGAGGCTGAGGTAGGAGCATCACTGCAAGTTCAAAACCAGCCTGAGCTACATAGTAAATTTAGGGCCAGTCAGAACTACATAGTGAGGGCCAGGGATTTAGCTCAGTGGTTCCGGCACCTGCCTTGCAAGCGCAAGGTCCCGAGTTCAATCCCCAGTACCAAAACAAAATAAAAAACAGAACTACATATTGAGATCCTGTCTCATCTCCCCCCAAAAAAGATCCTCTTGCATCTGGGTGTGGTGGTGCACACTGGTAATCCCAACACTCTGGAAGGCTGAGAGGCTGAGGCAGGAGGATCACAAATTCAAGCTCAACCTGGAGAATTGAGCAATTCAGCAAACCCTACCTCAAAATAAAAAAAAAAAGGGCTGGGGATGTACCTCAGCACCAAGTCCATCAGTTCAATCTCCAGAACCCTACACACACACACACACACACACACGCACACGCACACGCACACGCACACGAGAAAGAGGAGGAAGGGAATAGGGAGTGCTCTCTTGAGGGCTGCAATTTTAAATTCAGCAACTGAACTAAGGGTGCAGCTCAGGCAGATTGTCTACTTAGCATGTGTAAGGCTCTGGGTTTTATATCTAGCACCACAAGTAAATAAAAATAAATTCATCAACCAAGGAAGACCTCATGAAGAGTAGCTTTCAGAGAAAGGGAAGATTGTGTGTTTAGGAAAGGGCAAATTCAAAGGCCTTGAAGGCAGGACTGTGTCTGTGGTTCACTGTGGATTCTTGTTTTGTTGTTTTACCTTTCTTTTCTTGTCTTTATTTATTTTGAGACAGGCTGTCATTATGTAGTTCAGGCTAATGAACTTCCAGTGATGCTCCAGCTGAGCCTCTCAGTGCTGGGACTCAAGAAACAGCCACCACACCCAGCTTCTTTATATATAATTTAATTTATGTATGCACATATTTAGTTTTGTGGTACTGGGAATTGAACCCAAAACCTTCTGGCTGAGCTACATCCCTTGCCCTTTTCATTTTTTATTTGAGACAGGGTCTCTCTGCTAAGTTGCTCAGGCTGGGCTTGAACTTGTGATCCTCCTGTCTCAGCCTCCTAGAGTGCTGGTATTAGAGGCCTGTGCCACCACACCCAGCTCTGTTTTTCACTTTTTGCAGTGCTGGGGATCAAACCCAGGGCCTTGAGCATGCTAGGCAAGGACTTTTTACCACTGAGCTACATCCCAGGCCTATGCTGATTTTTTACAATAGTAAAAAAATTTACAATAGTAAAAAATTGGAATCCATGAAGTGTGGGGCAAATGTGAATTTGGAAGAGTCACATTGGAGAAACAAGTTTGAGAGTTATCAGATTGTATTTTTTTTTTATTTTTATTTTCTTTTATTTTTTTGGTACCAGGGATTGAACTCTGGTCCTTGTGCTTGTGCAACAGGCAGTGGAACCACTGAGCTAAATCCCCAGCCCTATCAGATTGTATTTAAAGCCACTGTGGCATCTGGGTTTGGTTTTGTCCCTGTGATACTGGGGATTGAATTGGACCCAGGGCTTTCACAGTGACCTATATCCCATTCCCCCCCACCCCATACAGAATTGCACTAACTTGTTAAATTGCCCAGGCTGGGCTTAAACTTGAGATCCTCCTGCCTCAGCCTCCCAGAGGAGGCCGGGATTGCAGCCTTGTACCATATAGTGGTATCTGCTTCATAGACACAATACCTAGCAACAATAAGTCTATCTAGTCCATCAGGCCAAAAAGGGGCCTGATATTTATACAAGAATGCAAAGGGCTAGGTGAGCCCTGGGGAACTGAGCACACAAGGCACCTCCCCAAGGAGAAGAAACCAAAGTGTGATTCTTTCTGGAACTCTGATACCAAAAGCCAAATGTGTAGGCAATTTCCTATCATACTTAGAACTAGCTCACCCCATTCTTCCTGAATAAACTAAGAGTTAATGTCTTATTTCCAATTGCCTTAGAAAAGAAAATTGGAGATACCTATAATGTGAGCATTGGAACAGCTTTTATCTAATTCCTAAAACCGTAACTCTAGTTCACACTCAAAAAATCATTTATTTGTTGGTTGGTTTGTTTTTCCAGTACTGGGGATTGACCCTGGGCCTTTACACAGAGCTGCAGTCCCCAGCTTTTTTTTTTTTTTTGGTACCAGGCAGGGATCGAACTCAGGACCTTGCTCTTACAAGGCAGATGCAGCACCACTGAGCTACATCCCTGGCCATATTATTTTTTATTTTGAGACAGAGTCTCCTAAGTTGCCCTGGGTGGGCTCGAATTCCTCATCCTCATGTTTCAGCCTCCCAGAATGCTGGGATTACAAGTCTGCCCCACTACACCTTGCTTTAAATTATTTTTCATTTACTCTTGCTATATCTTTAAATCATTTCAGATGCCCTGCTTACCTTGGGTGGTACCCCAGGGAAAATATACTTACACACACACACACACACACACACACACACACACACACACAACTTCTTTCTTAAAGAATATAATTCCTTACCCCAGTGCATCTGTAGTGCCAGCTACTTCGGAGGCCAAAGCAGGAGGATTACTGGACCCCAGTTCTGGACCACCTAGGCAAAACAGCAAGACCCTATCTCAGGCCAGGGATTTAGCTCATTGGTGCTGCCACCTGCCTGGAAAGCTCAAGGTCCCAAATTCCATCCCCAGTACCAAAAAAAAGACTGACCTAAAAAAAAGACCCTATCTCAAAATAATAAAAAACCCCCAGGGGCCAGGGATTTAGCTCAGTGGCACCATGCCTGCCTCGAGAGTACAAGGTCCTGAGTTCATATCCCTGGTACCAAAAAAAAAAAAAAAAAAGCCCCAGCATGGTGGTACACACATGTACTGCCAGTACTGGGGAGGCTGAGTCAGGAGGATCACTGTGAATTCAAAGCCAGCCTGAACTAAATAGTGAGACCCTGTCTCAAAAAAAGAAAAAAAGAAAAGAAAGAAAGAGAGCAGGCTGGAGTGGTGGGACATGTCTGTAATTCTGGCACTCAAGAGGCTGAGGCAGGAGGGATTGCCACAAATTCAAGACCAGCCTGGGCTACATAGTGAGTTCAAAGCCTGCCTGGACTTTGTAGGAGACCCAATCTCAACCCTACCACCACCACCCCCAAAAAGAAAAGGGTTGCAAGTTGTAGACCACTTTCTTAGCATTCGAAAGGCTCTATGTTCCATCCCTACCACAATGAAAATGATGATCACAATCTCACCTGGGCAAAATTTAAAAGTTTGTAAGCGGGCCAGGGATTTAGCTCAGTGGTTCCGCTGCCTGCCTCACAAATGCAACATCCCAA